TCTCAGCTCCGTACAAAAACACAGATGAAGTAAAAAGTGTGACAGGTGAGAGCAGGCCTGAGAACTGAACACAGCCTTGATAAGATTGCTCAGTCAATAGGCTTGGAGGAGCCGCCTAACCCAATAATGCACTCTGCAACAAATAACACGCTTTTGTGAGACGACAATCTACCAGGAAAAAAAAAAACTGCCGCCTTTCGTTTCCAAGTGGCTGTGCGAACAATTTCAATCCACTTAGGCATCGAACCTAGAGAGCGGGTCAAGTGATGGGGTGTGGAGATTTGATGCTGACACTCACACTCGCAGCACACTCAGGAATAACTGAGAGGATTAACCATCGGGTGGATGGATACGCTGCCTGAAAAGCACAGGTGAGAGATGGAACGAAAACATAGACAGTTCCTGTTCCTGTCCGACGCCTGACGACTAAATTTAGATGAGAGGAAACTTTAAAGATCCCTCAGGGAGGATTTGGCACTTCTTCTCCTGCATGAGACTGAAACAACAATACTACTACTGCCTGTGTGCTGCAGCATTAATGTGTTCTCTGAAGGACAAGGGCTGCTAATAATTATTATTTCCGCTATTGATCAGTCTCTTGAACGTCTGTTTTGACCGACTGAGTGATCAGCTGGTATTTTAAACGACAGAAAATATTAAACAAATGTCTGGAAACACAAAGATATTCAGCCGACAGAGAAAATCAGTAAATCCTCACAACTGAGAAGCTGGAAGAATCTGTGTTTGTGCTCTGAAGTGACCTAATGAATTCATTTAGCACCAAAACAGTTGAGAGGATAACACGTCAGTTCAGTTTTTATTCTCACCTTCTTGCCCGTGGAGCCCATCTTAGAGAGGCAGGACTTGGCCAGAGACTGGTATCCACCGATGACCTCAATCTCCTCCACAGCAGGGTAACGCTTCTTCAGCAGGGACCCCAGTTGAGCGTATGGGGCCTGCGGAGGTGTGGACCCCGGCGGGGCCTCAGATGAGCTTTCCTGTTGGGGCTCAGGTGAGCTCATCTGGGGATCCACCCTATGTTTAGGCACCACAGTGAAGGTGTTCCCCTTTCTCCTCTGCACCATGGGGCTGGGAACAGGGACTCGCTGGGGCGGCTCCACCTCAATGTCATCTATATTTGTGACTGGCAGCTGATCCATGGGAGGTTGTTCTGGAGCCGGGGAGGGGGCAGGGGGGGCGAGAGTGTCTGAGGAGACGGGAGATGAGGCGGGTGGGGAGAAAGGGGGGGAAGATGGGACAGCCACAGAGGAGGGGGGTGAGGACAGGGCAGGAGGAGAGGAGGGAGCTGGGGTGTGATCAGGTGATGGAGATAAAGGTTCTGAGGGTGGAGGAGGTGCAGGACTTGTGGCAACAGCAGGAGGTGGTTCAGGCTTGGATAACCTGACTACCCTCTCCATCTCCTCTTCCAGCTCCTTCTCCTCCTTCCTCTTTGATGGTGTCAGACTGGGTGTTGGGGCGATGGAGGTTGGCACTCCTGGCACCTCTGCCACTCTGTGAGACGGTGAAGACTTGATCGAGCCAGGCGGCATCTGGCTGCCTGTTGCAGGCATGGCAGCCAGCCGGCGTTTGGGGATCACTGTGAAGGTGTAGCGGGACTGCAGGCGCAGGTTTGCAAGGGCCCGTGCCTGGGTGTCCCCATCGGGGATCTGGTTGAGGTCCGGCTTTGGGGAGGGACGGATCTCAAAGTCGGACGAGGAACGCGTCACCTTAGATGAGATGGGGCTTGAGGGGGACTCGGCACGGGTACGACGGGTCTCCGGAGAGCATGGCACCTTGGGTTTGGGCGACACCTCAGTGGCCTCCCAGTCTCGCTCTCGGGTGAGCTTGGTTGCCCCCCTGTCTGGCTCATCTCTGGAGGCCACGCCAGGGCCCCCGCTGTCCCCAAACCGCTGACGGAATGAGGACACAGACTGTGGGGAGGCTGTGGAACGCTGGGGGCTGCCTGGCTCAAAGGCAGCGGGCTGTGGCTTTGGTTTGGAAGAGCAGGGGCTCTGGAAGACGGGCGAGGACGGGAGGCTGCTGCCCGGGCTGCCCGGTCTGGGCTTTGGCACCAGATCTGGCTGTGGCTTGAGCCAGGGTCTCGGCCTGCAGCCGGCACCGCAGTCCAGCTCCAGCAGGTTCTCCGTGCTGTGGGACTTCTTCTGCAGCTTCCCGTAGTTGCTGTCGAACTTCTGCAGCATCCGGCTCACCCTGCCCGGACCCTCACCTGAGTCGTACGGTGGGGTCACGTGGTCGGGGCGGCCCAGGGTGCTCAGGTTCTCCTCACTCTTGCTCAGCGTGGTGTCATAGATCACCACCTCCTTGGCTCTTATCTCGGTCACCGCGCTCCCTCTCTGGTCCAGGAGGTCGTTCAGGGAGCTGTAGCTACTCACGCCGTTCTGCTGCCACTTGGACCCGGGTTTCACCGCCCCGGCTTCCGGGAAGTAATCCGGATCCGATTCGATGATGATGATGTTCTCGGCGCGGATGGTCCGTATGCCGGGCACGCTGCCGTACAGCTCCAGGATGTGCTGCACCGGGCGGGCTGCGTTGTCCCGGTCCTGCCGCCTCCTCCGCTCCTTCTCCAGCTTGATGAACGGGTTCTCCTCCAGCGGGCCCAGGCTTTCCTGCAGCACCAGGCTCTCCTCCCTGGATGTCGTCGTCTCCGCGGCCGCCGGTCGTGTCTCTTTGTTGTTGACGAAGTGTTGGCTGGCGGTGGTGATGGTGTAATTCCGCCCGGACCCTCCGCTCGGTCCTCCGTCTCTCTGGGCTCCAACGCCTCCATCTCCTCCACCGCCGCTGCCGTTCACGCTCCCGGTCGCCTCTCCGTTGACCCGCTGCGGGCCCGCGCCGCCGCCGGGGCTCGTCTCCGCGGCACCGGCTGCTCCAGAGCCCTTCGCCTTCCTCCTCTCCAGGATCTCTCGCTTCCAGGCCGGCATCCTCGGGCTCTCCTGTCCGGCCTCTTGGCGGAGGACGCGAACGTCTCCCCCACCGGACATCGCAAACGGTTGCTGGAAGGGGGATGGGGAGGACTCCGGGGCTCCGAGGCGGTGTCGCCGCGGCTGTGGATCTCGTCTCCGGCTGTGACTGTACCTGCAGCGCCGCTACCTCGCACTCATCCCCGCCGTCTCTCTCCTCTGACTCCGCTTCCTCTGTCCGCACGGCCCCTGAACGCGGCTCCGCCTCTCCGCTGCAGCACGAGCCCGCCCGGCCCATCCCACCGCGCTTCCTGATTGGACGCTGCGGCTCGCGGACACGCCTTCTCTCTATGTGCCACTCCCGTTTCTATTGTTGACCGGGTGGAGGACGGCCTGTCAATCAAACGTGATATGTTCAATTACAATCCGCCAATTTCAAATAATTTATATTCACCTCTCATCAAATGATTAAATGTAGATTTCTTGTGAGTATTGTTTCGTCTCATTCTGAAGAATCAAACTTGTCATTGCGAAAGGTTTAAATGTTTTTATTACTGTTATAAGTAGTACGTATACCCATTTACTTATATTTTCAAATCCATTGTTTTCCTTTCAAACTCACATCCACATAATAAAATAGTTTTGGCCCAGATCTGACCCACATACTGTGTTCAATGTCTGCCAGATAATAAGTAAGTATAATATTTGTTGTGCTATTCGTGCCATATTCACCATTTACCACATTAGCCACTTTAGGTTCACATCCAGATTACACCTGGCCAGGACCACCGCATGTTCAAACAAGGCCTCACATTTGTTGTTGGATGTGACCGTGGCTCACCGACTGACCGTGGCTCACTCAGCAATTGTCGATGGCGATGCCACCTGCTGCTAATCCTGCTGCTGCAAACACACGAGCTGAGGAGGAGCCTGCTGCACATGAATCAGCACTTAGAGGGCTATTCTTGGGTACTACAGGAGATTACTGTTCCTCATCAAACATTTATCACCAGGCCATAATTAAGAACTGCACTGACTGAAGAGTGCAGAGGAAGAGAAATAAAGAAGTGCACAAGTAAACCAGTCGAATGTGCATCATTTCATTTTAAAACCAGGCTCGAGAGGTGGAAATTTAAATGTAATCTGTTTTGGGAGCTTCTGGAGGATACAAGGGCCCATCATGATATTTCTGGGATTCAAGGGCAAGGTTTAAATGTCATAAGGAATGTATATTCTGCTAATTATATTTAAAGGCTCATGTTATTTATCGATGTATTGAATTTCAAAATGTAACTTTTAACTGTTTTAGCGCAGTGTGCACAGGATTTCTACAAGAGGACTTTCACATCATCCTGACTGTAAAACACAAACATTATCGATATAAAGGAAGACAGTATAATTTACAAGCTGTTTCCTGCCAAGTCACAGAAAACAAAAACACCAGTATGTGGTTTACATTATGGTTTTTAGTTCCCATGAAAGAAACAGAGCCTCCTTGTGGCAGAAGCTGCAGCAACAGACCATCACTATTACCCACTGATGATAGAATTAGACAACAGTGATAAAATGTTGATGATTTATTTACATGTATATACAGTTGGACAACATCGATGCCATAACAACATAAATAAAAGATATGGTGAATTCCTTCCAAACTAAATTCTACATATACATAATACACAGAATTCCACATCCAGAAATATCTTAGAAGTTCAGTGTGTAAAATTTAGGTGAAAGGTTCTATTGGCAGAAATTGAATATTAAATAATCGTAGAAATGTTTCCATTAGTGTTTCATCTAAATCATCCAAATTGTTGTTTTCTTTACCCTTGAATGGGCCCTTTATAATTAAATACTTTATATTTAATATTTATGGGTCCTCTTTGAGGAGGCCGCCATGTTTTTTTTACAGAAGTCCAAACTGGACAAGCTAAACCTTTTTGAATTTTCATGACAACTGAAGCTACCACAGGTTCTCCTGCATGTTTGGAAGAGGAGGGTGAGGTGAGGGGTATTCAGCCGCAACATGCAACTTCACCACTAGACGTCACTAAATTCTACACACTGGACTTTTAAAACGAGGCACAAATACATAATATAATACAAAATATGAGCGTCACATTCACAAGGTGAAAACGTTACATGTTGTACAAAATAAACAGCAAGATCCAGGGAAGACGTGTGCACACAGTTGACTGCTAGAAGTAATCACAGTCAGCTCCTATACATCGGGGTCTTGTCTTGATGGAGCTGACAAACTAGGCAATAAGGGAGCACAGTGCACGAGGAACGCTTCCTGCAACAGAGTGAGACGTAAAACCAAATTTCAGAGGCAGTCACTTGTTTCCTCTCGGAACAGAAACATCAATGCTGCAGCAGCTCGTCGACCCACTAAGTTGCCTGAATGCCTCGGTCATTACTGCCTTGAGGTTCCTCCTGTTTATTTAATTTGTGGTCTGTGCACATTAGCATTACTACATAATATCAGGTATAAATTTCACTCATGGCTCACTGTCGACCTTTGACTGCACCATAGTCATGGTTTAGGCACTACCACAGTCCAAATGCACCGTTACTGCTCCGACATCTTCTCCGAATCTTTGTGCTCTGCAAAGTATCAACAACAACTCAAGTCAAAATGTCTCCATTCTGCTCCGTCTTTAAAAATACAATTTAAACTCAAGTTAGCATCATTAACTTTGTCGCTGTTGGAAACACAAATGACAGAATTCTGAATTCTGGTGTGACCTGGAACACGTATGTGAAAAACAATAGAAGTGTTGCTGTGTCTTTAAGGTGCAGACGAACCAAAGGGAAAATTACACCATTGTTATGCTTTAAATCTCAAAAGGCAGACGAGGACTGCTCTCTGACTGGCGACGTGAAAGCACGACCACTAACGGCCGCTCCTCAGTTGACGCGACACGCTCGGATCATGAGCAGCTGCAGCAGGATGAAGAGCGGAGAGACGATGAGGCCGAACCACAGGTCTCTGGCTTGTTCCTGCCCGGCCAGCTTCTGACACAGCAGCACCTCGCACACCAGCTTCAGGCTGAGCACCGTCAGCACCCACAGGAGCCGCAGCACCGCCAGGCGCTTCTCGTTCTCCAGGTACAGCCGGATGGACACGATGGCCGTGAAGTAGGTGCTGAGGCCGTCGGCGGCAAACAGCGGGACGAAGACCAGCCACCAGCTCAGCGAGGTCACGAACATGTCGGCTCGCAGGGCCACCAGCATGCTGAAGACGAGCAGAGCCAACAAGTGGAGGAAGAGTTCGAAGGTGGCGAAGCCGAGCCACTGGACCAGCTCCCTCAGGGAGAAGAGCATGTTGGAGCGCGGCGGGGGGGGCGTCAACCAGGGGCGGTCTGACCAACGGGCTCCAGAGCGAGGACAGCAGAGGGAGGCGCTGAAGAGGAGGCGTCACTGAGCACAGATGAGGGAGATGACGCTCTTCTCTCGTGGCTACATCTTCAAACCCGCCCCGAGGAGGTTGTGCTGCTGGTGGAGTTGTGTTGCTGGTTGTGTTGCTGGTTGTGTTGCTGGTGGTGACGGCAGCTCAGCAGCTCTGGAGACTGACTCACAACAAATACACAAAACAACACAGTGAGGAAATGAGATGACACACACACACACACACACACACACACACACACACACACTGACACTCAGAGGAGAGGACGGGGCCCACACCATGCTGGAGGACACACAGTGAGTCCAGCGTCCATCTTTGAGTCCCAGTGACGTGTCAGCTTCATTACGTTCACGTGAATAAAGTGTTAAAAAGGTTTAAAGTGACGCAGCGGCGACACGTCGACGCTGCAGAGCCTCAGTGGTTCACAGTGTAGCCTCTGTTAGCATGCGAGCTAATCCCTGTCAGAGGTGATGCAGCGGTGCTCGTCGCAACATCTGCACACAACATCTGCACGCGGCCGTGAACACGTGGTGCTCCGCGAACAGTTTACCTCAACGACTCCGCGCCGCCTCCTGCTCCATGAGTCCGGACGACACACCGCGCACGGAGCTAACAGCCCGTTAGCATCGCAGCTTCAGAGCCTCTGCTTCTCTCGCGCTGACGAAATATCGCGAGAACTCAAATGTCGGGATTCTACAGTGGCCGGTGAGATTTCTTCTTCTTCTTCTTCTTCTTTTGGGTTTTTACAACTTATTGGCGCCTCACCGCCTCCTGCTGGTTTGGAGTGTGGGTCAGGATTATATTATTTATTCTATAGAGTTAAAAAACACAACATATTGTTTACTACTACTCTACTTTATTGTTTTATTTATTATTATTATTATTTATTTGTACTTGATTTTACTTGTATTCACAATCTGATCATCAATAAGAGCTCCCACCAGAGGGGACTGTGGAATCACAGTGAGTGACTTCTTCTAAATCACTTCTTAGAACCCATTTTTATAGACTTGCTTTCCTGTGATGTAGTTTTTTTACTGTGTTTTTGAACGTTGTCTTTTCACCTTTTTCTTTTTTCTTTTTCATTCATTTTGACTGAAATACTATTACTGCTTTTATAAAGTTAATTATATTAATACAATGTAGAAAAAAAAATACTTTTTCACAATCAGCACATGACTGGAACACTGAACCCACAGAATTATGACTTTCAACTTTTCATTTTCCAATTCTGTAAAACAATGGTTACTGAAAACTTAGACATGTCATCATCTGGAATAGTCTTGTTATTTTTAATGTAATGCTCTTCTCTGTCTCCTTTTAATTATTACCAACTGGTATATACATCATCCTCTAATAAACTACTCAAGAGAATCAGGATTAAAGAATTATATTTAGTTTAGTTTGCTGCCAAGCTATTGCTGCACACTCCAGTCCAGAAGGGGGCGGTCATGCACCTATACGCTAGTTCGCCAAATAGTTCAGACTCCAGCCGCTAGTTGGCGGTAGCTGCGTCACCACCAACCTTCGGTTGCAGAAGAAAAACTAACGTGAGAAGTGAGAGAAGTCGCAGGTTTTCATCACAACAAGGTAAAAACTGTGTATTTGTACCATTTGAGATGTTTTTCTACACGTGGTCTCAGTTTAATGTCACTGAATCAACACACTACCGCAGTGTCGTTGCGTTTGAAACTCTTCTTCGTGGCATGGTTGTAAAAGCAAGGTGACTAAAAGACGTGCAGCTCTGCAGGAACACACACACACACACACACACACACACACACACACGTGATCGTGACTTTATTCCATCGTTACTTTTGTGTTTCAAGCTTTTCAACAACAACACAACGTGTGTTCACTGAGAACCAGAGACCACGTGTTCTCCTGTTGTTGAGCTTCGACACGTGAGCTTTGTGTTTTAATTCATTTCCGTGTTGACAGATTTAAAGAAAATGACGTTTACATGAAAATAACACAACATGGTGACGACAACATGCAGATGACGTACTGTCACGAGTCACATGTGCGTTTAATCTTGATTGTTATTGTTAAAAACCGATCGAGGAACTTATCACTAACATTTATTATAAATTATATATATTCACACCTTCACTGAAATCAGACTGTGTGTCATCAGATAGGGGCTGAGCGATGTAGCCAAAATATATATCAAGATAGAAATGTTCATCTAAGTCGATAAAGACAATAATCACGACAAATTATTAGAAATACACCAAATAATCATTTAACTCTGGTTTAACTTTCTTAAATCTGCAATATTCACTCTGTCTGTGCAGCACAATGGTTCATGTTCATCCGTTCACTGGACGTATTCTCACACTTCTGTTTTTACATTACATATGTTTGTTTTTATTCCATTTGCACTTTTATATTCTTACACTTTATTATCTTTACACTTGAGTATTGCATGTTACCTATTATTACTTACTGAAGCCTATTTTTGACTCCTGCTGCTGTAATATTGCAAATGTCCCGGGGTGGGACTAATAAAGGATTCTCTTATTTTATCTTATCTTATTGTTTCTGTAAAGTTTAAAGACTTTTGCTCCGGATTGAAGGTTGTGGTTTTAAAATCTTCTTTATTTCAGAGAGTACAGTTTAAAACATTTTCATTACATCCATATATATTGGACCTTTCTCACATTATTATTGATGAAGTTATATGAAACATTCTATTTGCTTTATTGCCCAATCATAATATTCAGGGTTGATTCATTAAAGTTGACATGGCTTCATGAATCGTGGGCTCAAACTCTTGATATGTGCTGATTAGTTTGGACGACAGGAATTTGCGAAATCATAACAAGATAAAAACCACCTGATTCTACTGAGTCAGAAAAGTCAGTCAACGATAATATGGAATTCGAGCCAAAGTTTTTGACCTGTAACATAAAAGTTAATCATTATTCAAGAAATTCAAGAAAATAATCTTTTTCCTGCGCAGAAATAAAAAGTGGCGGCACGGAGAAGAAATGTTCGTGGAGGAAAAGGTCATAAACTACCAAAATAAAAGGTTGTTATTCAGTATAAATGCTTATTCTGCAGCCAGACAGAGCCGCGGTTGTTTGGAGAAGCAGCGTCACGCATGCTTGGTCAGTTTAAACGGTGACTGAGCTGAAGCACGAGAGTGTGAGAGCGGTTAAAAGGGACCTGCCCAGTTCACTGCGTTTCTGTCTGTGTCTCATCACCGATCGTCTCTTTACTTCAGAGCAGAGATGCAGACGCCGGCGGAGTCGATCATCCACAGCGGATATTTCCACCCGACGCTCCGATGCTGGCAGACCTGTGCTGCGGATTTAAGACCCGACAATCTCATCTACCCAGTCTTCATCACGTAAATGAAAATTCTTTGTTTGTGGATCCAAGTTTCTGTCGTTAAAGATGACGAATGAACCAGAAGTAAACCACAGTGTGTTTTGTGACACTTCTACTGGTGTGGACCCCCCCC